GCGTGCAGTTTGTGGCATTAAACGCACCCATGGCCTTCGACCAGCGGCCTCAAAGCTGCCTATAACCCTACCCCTTCTCCGAGCCCTCCTTGGGCAGCTCCAGTGCTCCACGTCTCTTGGAGCCTGGGACTGGCAGGTCATCGCTGCGGTCTTTGCTGTCTCTTTTGCTTGCTTCTTGTGATGCAGCGAGGTCACTTGGCATGAGGACTATGCCATCCTCCTCCTCCTGGCCTCCAAAACCGACCCCTTCCGGCTCTGCACCCCTCTCATCGTCCCCAAGGTCGGGGTTGGAATGCCCCTATGTTGTGCTCCGACTCCTCTGCCCTCTAGTCCACAGTCCCGAAGCACCCCTCTTTGGGTTGCATGATGGCTACAGGCCCCTCACTTGTTTGTTCTTCCTCCAACACCTTTGCTCTGCCCTCTCTCGCCTTGGCCTTGACACCTCCCTATATGCCAGGCACTCTTTTCGCTGAGGAGCAGCTACTTGGGCTGCTTCGCAAGGCATAGAAGCGGACACCATCAAGCTCCTCGGCCGGTGGAATTCCAATTGCTATTGGCACTACGTGGACCACTCTGCCACCGAGCGCTGCACAATGGTGGTGCCCACCCTCTATGCCACCCGGCTAGGCCCACTTGTCCCTCCTGGTGCTTCCTGGCGAGACCCCGTCCTCTAACCTGGTGGAGCCTCCGGCCCCTCTGCAGTGACCGCTGTCTGCTACGCAGGCGACACCGCAGCTGTTGGTGGGCTGGGAGCCTCCTTGTCGAGCTTCGAGGACCTCATGGGTCTTTGCCTGCAATCCACCCAGTTTATTTGCACATTATTTTTAGTCGTTTAGTTTCAGTCTTGTCTCGTGTGATTGAGTCCAGACGGGATTTTCTTTTTCTTTTTCGATACTGCTCACCTGGCATGTCCGACTGATGACAGCTTGCTGCTGTCTCTTAGCCTCGCAACAGGGGTCGTGTCGCTCTTCTGTATTGTTCGCTTCTCGCGGTCCCGCCTGTGTGCGTTCTCTTTCGCGTTGAGCTCTGTCGAGCCTGCATCTGCAGCTCTATTCATTCACTCTGGCTGCCGGTGTTCAAGCTCTACCGTTCATTCCGTTGGTGCCTCGCCTTGACGCTTGTCCTTCAAGGTGGCTCGTAGAGATCTCCGCCTCCACGCGGCTTCTTTTCCTCTCTGCTTTTCGCATTCTCTACCTGTCTGCCATCTCATCAACGACCGGTTGCCGGTGGGCTAGCAAGAATCCAAGGCTCAGGCTACCGTAGCTGCAAGACCTCCGTACGTCCATGCTCCTCACCATCTTCACGCAATTGCCGTAGCTGCTGCTACTTCGTTATACATTCGACGAACAGCGGCCATTGAGACGATTGCGACGTTCGGAAGGAACTGCGACTCCCACCTGATTGCCTTTCACAACTGCTCCGACACCGTTTCACCTTGTTCATCCTCCAACATCCATTCCTGCGACAACTTCGACCGGCTGGAAACATTGTATCATCACCTCACCTCGAATTCACGCTATCGGCTTCTTGTGACACGACACATCCGACATGCTTCAATAGTCGCCGCCACACGTCACCTGTCCCTCCTATCCCTTGCGAGTTCTCCTGACGGCGTTCACGATGTTCTCACGCTCACGGCATTCCGACTCCAAGAGGCTGAGCGCCTCCCGATCCAACGCCGATAGCCGCAGCTCGGTCTCGGATGCAGCCGTCAACGCAGCGTCACACCAACAAGCGGCTGCCATCCCAACACAGCAGAGCGCAGCGCTACCCGTACAGATGCCTTCAGCGGATGTGCCGACAATAACAACCACGAATGGAACTCCACTCGCAACGTCCTCTGCCACATTCTCGTCTTCCATGGCTGCAAACACGGCTCGACCCGAATACTATCAGCATAACACAGCCACGCAGACCTCAAACTGGACCTCACCACCACATCGCTCGCATGCCGCTATCATTGAACCCACCGATGTCACAAACAGCAGCTTTTCGGTCACGTCGCTCGACAGCTTCGGTGCCATCTCGATGGCAGGCTCCACCGCGGCAGCAGAATACGGCAGTCAGAACGGATCACGCTATGGGATGAGTCCACCTGGCTCTACGCTCGTGGCACCTAGAGGCGAGCTCTCATCAGCCTCGATACGTAGTCGAAGGAACTGGGACGAGTTCGAAGGCAAGCCTGTGTCACCACTACCTAGTCCTGCCGTCCAAGACGAACAAGCCAGAGACATGTTTGATGTTCCCGTTGCCTCTTCTTCCAGACTCGCCACCATCAACAGCCCTTCTACTCCATCCGCTCGTACCACCCCTGCCAGGAACTTCTCAAATGAATCGCTACCGAGCATGGGGGGCGATGCAAAGACCATGTCCTGCCCAAGAGGCGGGACACAGAACGAGGTTGCAAGTCGAAACTGGTCTTTCTTCAACTCGAATCCTTCTGGTCCATCTGTCGCACGTGCGCCCAGCATCAAGGCCGCCAACCTCACGAGACGAACGGATCATATTGGCGGCAGCGAACCTACGGAGCCATCTACGCCGCTCAGTTCAACAGCACCAAGAAGCGCATCCAGTGCCAACAACCTCGCTCACGGCCTCGCAGGAAGGGTGACCTCTGCAGACCTTTCCAGTCGCATCCGTTTGCCTTCCAGATTGCCCACTCTACCCACAGACAGCGTAAGCATTGGAGGTGCTGGTACAACCAACGCTAGAGCCACCTCGGCCATCTATTCGCAACCGCAGCACTTCGGGTATCCGCGGCACACACGCATAAGCAGCGGAGAGTCAGCGTTATCTGCCGAAGTGACCATGTACTCGCCACTCTCGGCGGTTGACCCACATACGGGAGAACTCTTCAATCTCAATTCAACCTCGCAGCTTTCCCTGTCAGCCATCTCGGATGCACCCAGCGCCACTCTCGAGGGCTTACCACCAAACATACCATGGGCACCCGACAGTCCTCATCGTGCACGCAGTCGAAGCCAGCTCTTGCTAGATGACGAACACCGCAGCGCACAGTCGTCCCCGGCATCTGCTGTGCCTTCTCGTATTGAGTGGCAGAAACCATGGAGAGAGGCTGGCGATGCCTCCACCGACTCTATCAGCGCCCTCATGCCAAGTGCAGCGCAAAGAGCAAGTCCCCCACCCACACGATCCGAACTTCATCCTCCCTCTTCATCGTCGATAGGCGGCCCGAACGGCACAGTGGCATCGCAGGACCAAAGCTCAGGTGAAACAACAAGGAATCAGGGACACCCAAGGTGTCGGCAAGGACCGTCTGAATCGGCAACGGGTAGCAGCATCTCGCCTGTCCCTTTGAGCCGTGAGAGACCAAATCAACCTGCGATCGTAGAGTCACGAGAAGAGGAGGAAGACGGAGACCAGATTGGACCGTATCGCATCGAGAAGACGCTGGGTGTGGGTGCATTCAGCCGTGTCGCTTTGGGACGCTTAATACGCAGCTCGTCGGGTACTTCTGCGTTGCGATCTGATCGAATGATCTCGTCGCTTCCCGCGTTGCGTCAACGAGCTCTGCAGAAGAGCCACCAAGGTCAAGTGGAGGGCAACGACAATGTGGTGGCGCTCAAGATGCTCGACCGCGAGCCTTGCAACAACAACGAGCGTCTCAAAGTCAGTTGGGTCCGTGAAGTTGAAGTGCTCAAGCACATCTCGCACCCGAACCTGGTCCGGTTCATCACTTCATTCAGCACACCCCTCCATCATACGCTCGTGCTCGAGCGAGTTGCAGGAGGCGAGCTGTTCGATGCGCTCATGTCCAACTTTGATCAGCTTGCACAGCGCGAATGGCTCGTTCGTGTCATCTACACCGAACTTGCCAATGCGATCGGCTGGATGCATCACATCAACCTCGTGCATCGTGACATCAAGTTAGAGAACATTCTGATGACGGTCGATCTGTTTGCAGCAACTGCTGCCGCAGCCACTTCAGCAAGCTCCGGAACGTCTTCAGAGCCATTACGCCCTCACCATCTGCCTGCTCACGGCCCTTTGATCAAGCTGACTGACTTTGGTCTCTCAAGATTCATCGACCCGTCCAATCCACTGCTCGAGACACGCTGTGGCTCGGAGGAGTACGCTGCGCCAGAGCTCATCATCGGAAAGAAGTACGACGGTCGCAAGACGGATGCTTGGGCTCTTGGTGTCGTGCTGTATGCACTCATCGCCGGATCACTGCCATTCATGGAGGAAGTCAATGTTGGTGTCAACGGCGCACGAGAGGGTCACGGCGAAGAGCGCGATCCAAAGCAACGCAAGCGACACCTGCTTCGAATCGCAAAAGGCGACTTACGATGGCCATCGCCTGCCAATGACAGCAGTGCTGACCAGCCTGATCCTTCGACGTGTCCTGCCAACATGCGTCTCGTCACCCCGGTGGCCAAAGCGATAGTAGCTCGACTGCTTCGACGTGACTCGACCAAGCGAGCTACGCCATGGGAGACATGGGACGAGCAGTGGCTTCTGGGAGGAAGCTTCGGATACGCTAATCTGGCCTCAACACATGGAGGCAGCGGGGTAGGTGGCTCAGCTATGCCTCCTCGCCAAGTGCCAAATGAGGCCTCTGCCGGCGGCGAACCACTCGATTTGCACCCAGATCCACGCTCGCAACAAGGACAGAGTTGGTTGGAAGCAAATGCAGCTGTGCGACAGGATGATTTAGACCCTGTTGCCCGTGACGATTGACGATGCTCGAACGGCTCTTCGCACCTTGCAACAGGTGCAATTGTCAGTTGAGAGTTTGATCCAGCATTGAGTGCTAGCCACAATCATTTCTTTGTGACCGACCTGTACTCTAGAAATAATACATACGCACATTGAGGAATCTTCCACTATGCTTATTCTTAGTAGACGACCGGCAGCACTGCGTGCAAGCTTTTTAATGTGATACGATGTGATCATAATCATAGATGTACCCGAAAAAAATGGTAGTTGTATTGACGGATTCGACGCTGAAAACAGGTCAATTTTAGAGGCAAAAAATATTCCCGGCCGGGGAATCGAACCCTGATCTGAGCAGAACAATCAGATGACTTGGTATAACTTTTCGCAAACTGAGAGTGCCCTATACTAACCATTGTACTAACTGGGAGAGGTTAAGAAGTAGATGGTGTGTACAATTTATTAATCTGTGTTGTCCCCAGACAACATCCAAGATCAGGATGTCACTCCTCGTTGTGGCAGCACTCGAGCTACAGCACCCAGAAACGGAGGCCAAGACGAGTACGTTCGGCTGAGGGACGCAGCGATCCCAAGCGCCTGGTCCGTAGCCGTATGCTACATGTTCAATCAGGTCGTTAATGCGGAATCAGCGGACGTGCCGGCGTGTCAATGACGAACGGAGAGATCCGCGTCTGAAGTTAGATACAGCATGTTCACGACTATGAGTGCTGTGCTCAAGATGCTGAGTGTTTGTGTTCAGGGAAAGGGAGGCAATCAGTTGAAGATGCATCGGCATCGCCAACGCGTGATGTATTGAACAGGAGCTCACAGGATCGGGAAATCGGGAAGATATAGAACAACGAGGAAAGACAAGCAGGACACGAAGCTAGTGGGGACTGATATATTGACATGACGACACTCATGAAAGTATGCAGGAGGTATGATGACATGACAACACTCATGAAAGTGGATACGTGGCATATGGGAATGACTCGACAAAGTAAGTACAGACGGGTGCCCAGAGCATGTATATATACTCCAAGTCATGTCGCTACCATACAATAAAATACCAGCCTTTTCATCTGAGACTACCTGATTTTGAGAGTGCCTGCTAGTGGCCTCTGTATCGGTGTATCTAATTTTAACTCAATCAAGGCAGAAGTCAAGACCTGGAACACAGAAGTGACCTTGCATGTGTGTTGTTGTGGGTAGTCAGAGTACGACACCGTGTGATGCACCGCGCCGATCCGTGAAAGCCTTTCTAAAGGTGGAGCCATACTTTCAAGAGCCTAGATTGCGGTACGAGCTCGGACCCATCGGCTTTCGCATGGTCGGGCTCGTGCAGAAAGATGTGAGCGTTGGGCTCGTTATGGTTCTTTTCCTCTGGCGCTCCTCCTGCTCCTCCTTCTTCTCCTACTCCTCCCGAGTGGTATTGTTTGTACGGGCGAAACCGGAATAGAGCTGCTTCCGCGCACCTTGCCCGCCGCCCTCCCCGCCTGGTACCTGGCACTCTCAACTCTGGTCATCCGACCTGACCCTTAAGCTGTCATTTTGGGAAAGCAACCCCGCAAAGCTACCTGACTCTTCTGACGCTCGTACAGGCAGACGCTGCAACTGTCGATGCCCTGCATACCCCGTCATCGAGCAGCACAGCCGCTATGCTGCTTAGCCTGACGCTTCGTCGGCATTGTGCTTCCCTGCTGGACGTCGTTGTGCACACGATGCGCAGGGTGTAGCGAAAAGTTGAGATGGTTTGATGTTACCCGATCCCGCCCATTGCCATCGGTGGCTTTCTGCCCCCGATCTGAAGTCGATCGCATGTCTGAGCTCTTGCACGTCGCTGCCCACCGAGTTCCCTCCCGTCTGCGGCCTTGCTCGTCCGTTGCGACCGATCCAGTCATTGTTCGTGACTCGCTCCCACTTGTCGTCCCGTCTGCCGATGCATGATCAAGACTTTCGCCACCGCTGCTGCATAGAGTCGCTTTATCGATCAGAGGCCTAATCACCGAATCAGCAGCGAGACAACGAACGCAACGCGTCTCTGAGTGCAAGAGGGAGTGTTGGACTTGAGGCAAGAAGGTAGGGACGAAAAAAGGGTACCAAAAATGCAGATCTTTATCGAAGCGCAGAGAACGTAGCCTGACGCAAATAGTGCCTGCGTATGGATACACATCGTCTGTCTTTCTGCGTGGAGGCAGCGAACGGAACTTCTGACTCGCTTGGCCCATGCCCACACAAAGCGCACGCACGTTTCCGTCGTTGTGTGTTGCTGAGAGCGTGCGCAATATTTTTTGGCTTCTGCAACGCAGAGAGAGAGAAAGAGAGAGAGAGAAAGAGAGAGAGAGAGAGAGAGAGAGAGAGAGCAACATCCTGCGAAGGCGAAGGAAGCAGCGCAAAAGCCAACATCTCGGCCATCGATCCACAGAAGGCAAAGAAGATGAATCTTCTTGGTCCCGCAGGCTGGGAGCTGTGTCGACGCCTGTTCAGGCAAAAGCTATATGCCGACCCTGCAAGCCGGTCTGCCTTCTTTTGATTCACCATCATCCCAATCTCCCTCTTCCTCCTTCCGCATAACAACACATCCTATTCAAAATGGCTATCCAGAAGATCCAGGCCCGCATGGTCCTCGACTCCCGAGGCAACCCCACCGTTGAGGTTGACCTCACCACCGAGAAGGGTCTCTTCCGCGCCGCTGTCCCCTCCGGTGCCTCCACTGGTATCCATGAGGCCGTCGAGCTCCGTGACGGTGACAAGTCCCAGTGGATGGGCAAGGGTGTCAATAAGGCCATCGACAACGTCAACAACGTCATCGCTCCCGAGCTCACCAAGGCTGGTATCCCCGTCACCTCGCAGAAGGAGATCGACGACTTCCTCATCAAGCTCGATGGCACTGCCAACAAGGGCAAGCTCGGTGCCAACGCCATCCTTGGTGTCTCGATCGCCGTTGCCAAGGCTGGTGCCGGTGAGCAGGGTGTTCCCCTCTACAAGTACCTCGCTGAGCTCAGCGGTATCAAGGCTCCTTACGTCCTCCCCGCCCCTGCCATGAACGTTATCAACGGTGGTTCGCACGCTGGTAACGCTCTTGCCTTCCAGGAGTTCATGATTGTCCCCACTGGCGCCAAGAGCTTCACCGAGTCCATCCGCATCGGTACCGAGGTCTACCACAACCTCAAGAAGGTCATCAACACCAAGTACGGCATTGACGCTACCAATGTCGGTGATGAGGGAGGATTCGCACCTAACGTTCAGTCTGCTGACGAGGCTCTCGAGATCTTGACCGAGGCCATCAAGAAGGCTGGCTACGAGGGTCAGGTTCACATCTCGCTCGATGTTGCCTCATCGGAGTTCTACAAGGACGGCAAGTACGACCTTGACTTCAAGAACCCCAACTCTGACTCCAGCAAGTGGCTCACCGGTAAGGAGCTTGCCGACGTCTACCTCGGCTTCATCAAGAAGTACCCCATCACCTCGATCGAGGACCCCTTCGACCAGGACGACTGGGAGGCCTGGTCGCACCTTCGTGCCCACGCCGGTATCACCATCATCGGTGATGACCTTACCGTCACCAACCCTCTCCGTATCAAGACCGCCATTGAGAAGAAGGCTTGCAACGGTCTCCTCCTCAAGATCAACCAGATCGGTACCATCTCCGAGTCGATCCAGGCTGCTCAGCTCGCTCAGTCGGACAGCTGGGGTGTTATGGTCTCGCACCGATCCGGTGAAACCGAGGATGTTACCATCTCGGACCTCGTTGTTGGTCTCAGTGTCGGTATTATCAAGACTGGTGCTCCATGCCGATCGGAGCGCACTGCCAAGTACAACCAGCTCCTCCGCATCGAGTCGCTCGAGCCCTCGGCTGTTTACGCCGGTATCGACGGCTTCACCCAGGGCGAGACCGCTCCCAAGGTCATCACCAACAAGTCCGCTTAGAGCGCAGGGTCGTGGTGAAAAAGCTCGTGTTCCTGTGATGACATAGCCTCAGTGTAGGCACATGCAATTGTGGATCTAAAACAGATAATCACGGATGAGTGTGGCCAGCGTGATGACTCAAAGTAGCAGAATTGGCTCAGTCGAGTGACATGTGAGTCGGCAATGAGTTTCAGATGCGAGTGTGAGCGAGAGTTCATCGGAACCGCCGTGCAAGGTTGCGAAGCGAAAGCTATGCTCCCAAGGTTGATGGCATGTCGGACCGCGGACAAGTGCAAACTGTACAGATACAATCGTTTCAATCGTTCCAGCCGTTTCATCCGTTTTGTCAGGGTCGTAGAGCGCGCAGACTTTCAATTGTGTGAGAGCGTCTTGGTCTGATGATGCGTTGCATTGCTTTTGGAAGGATCTCCGTCCTCCTCATACGGCTTCTCGCCTTGTTCGGCTTTAATACGGACTGCAAGACGACAGAGGAGTAGCACTAGTCGATGAGGTATTTGCGCTTGAAAAAGTTGCGCAAGTGGAAGACCTGCCATACTCCCAATGCTACCAATGCCACCAATGTGAGAATGGCAAAGTTGGTTACTCGCATGTTGGTCGACACTGCGCATCAGAGGAAAGAAAAGGTACAGAGGTCAGTGCTGGTTCTCGATTTGACTTCAAACTGTCTCTTCTTCTTGTACCTACGATTTGTGTCTGCCATCCTCAACTCTCGCTTCTTCAAGTACTCCATCTCGTTCACAATCTCATTTGCTACAGCTTCCAACTTCCTCACCTCTGTTTCCAACCCACTCAAACTCTCCTGATTGGCAATGGCATTGTAGTCCACTGCATCTGCTCCAATGTCCACATCCAAATCGATCGTAATCACTGGTACATTTGACCCGGTCTTTGATGTTTGCATGTTCTTGAAGCAGACGCCAAGGTCGGCGTGAGAGTGAGTGTTGATCGCCAACCGGGTTTCACCTTTGATGTTCTTCTTGGAGAGGTAGACGTTGTTGTGTTTGCTTCCGTCGACGACTTCCACATCGACTCGTTGGGAGGAGAAGTCGAAGGGCTCCTTAGCAATGGTAGAGGCTGTGATGATCACGAGCGAATCGGAAAGAGCGTAGTTCCAGATGCATTTTGTGTGTGGATGTGTTGCTGCGGGGAGGTCAAACTTGATTGCTGAGACAAGAGTTGTGGAGAGGAAAAGGACGAGAAGCAGACTCGCTGCCGAGCAGAAAAGGTGCCGCAACATCATTGCTGTGGTGTTGGAAGCGGGTCGAAGGATGCGTGCAGAATTGAAGGATCGTAAAGTGGTCGTTAGCGGGATCGAAGAAGGGTGGTGAGGGCCTTGCAAGATCTCTCAGAGGGCCAGGTGAGAGTGATGCAGACAGAACGAGTATGCTGCTGCTTTGTCGTTGCCGAAAGTGTGACGGCAGGGATTGCGTTGAGCGACGAAGGTTGATGATGATGCCCAGAATGACAGATTTAAGCTGGATACCACGCTCAGACCCCAAA